AGTTTTGGTCAAACACATTATAAAAAGTCTAACTGATGCAATGAAAGAGTTCAAAATAACCAAAAATTTTATTTTTTTTAGCTAATTCTTCTTAATAATGTTCAGCAGCCCACTTGATAGTTTTCTTTCAGTTGGAACCAATCTGCTTTGGGAGACCAGGGCCTGTGGTCCCAGACAGCTCAGCTCCTAGAATCCTTTAGATACACTAACTCCTCCACCAAGGTGGTGATTCGCAGATTTAAACACTTTAAATTTTAAAATTAGAATCTACATTTACTGTAATTAGTTTTACTAATGTTCCGAAAGTCAGCAGTCAAGTTAGTGAAAGAAAAACAAATTACTGTTGGGCTGCAGAAATCCCTGGTGAAAAAATACGTCAAACCAAAGACTTCTAAACTCCTGACACCGCTAGAGAAAAGGACAGAACAAGGTGCTCCTGGTTCCACTCAGGCTGTGCACATGTAGCCTCACATCTCTGTGAAGGAAAATGGTAAACTAACATTTGATGATGGATAATATGTCAGTAGTCACCATGTTTACTTTGTCAGGGTTAAGTGGGGCAGCAAACTACAGGGGTACTCTTTTTGTTCTAACTTTTCTGTGTTACTGTGTGATTTGTTTGATAAATGGGACCATTATTGTGGCCATTATCGTGGATAAAAACCTCCATGAACCCATGTACATTTTCCTTTGTAATCTATGCATTAACGGGCTCTACGGGACAGCTGGATTTTATCCTAAATTCCTCCACGACCTCCATTCAAAGACTCACATCATCTCTGTTCCTGGATGTCTTATGCAGGGTTTTGTGTTGCTCTCTTCAGTTAGTGCTGAATTTTCCTTTCTTGCTTTAATGGCTTATGATAGATACATGGCTATATGTCGACCTCTGGTGTACCACTCTGTGATGACTAAACAGCGGGTGTGCATTTATGTGGTTATTGCCTGGCTTATTCCTTTTTACCTGATGTTTCTTAGCTCAATAACAACAGCAACACCAAGGTTATGTGGGTCACACATACCCAGGATCTTTTGTGTCAACGTTTTGATTTCTAATCTTGCCTGCTCTGCCTCTGTAGCAC